ACTAGCAGCACGAAGAGATTCAGCCTCCGGGTCAGCAAGGGCAGGAAGAGAGGACGCAGGAGGAGAAGGCAGAGGGACTCGCTGTGGTGCAGTGGAAAGACGAAGCGTCATCTGGTGAGTGCCTAGGACAGCAGGAGGACGCTGACGCGGGACACTACGACCAGTGCGAGCAGCACGAACAGGTGACGCAGAACGAGACTCAGGCGACACAGGACGAGACTCCGGCTCACGACGCTCCGTAAGACCTCCTGTCGGACCAATGTAGGGAGAAGAACTAGGAAGAGACGAGGCGGGCTGTAACTGTGCCTGCGACTGGACAAGCGGAGGACACTCTAAGGAGGGAGCAGGACAAGGAGGAGGAGGCTGACCAAGAACCTGCTGAAGGAGCGGAACGAAGTACGGCCGCGGTCGTGAAGCGCCCTCAGAACCTGCAGAGACCGCACCAGAACCCCCAGCAGCAGCTCCAACTGCAGCAGTACTACCAGCAGCTCCAGTAGTGCCAACTCCAGTAGGCCCGGCGTCCTCAGCTCCACTGGCAGCTCCAGCAGCTCCAGCACCCGCAGCTCCAACTCCAGCACCAGCAGCACCTCCAGTAGCACCAGCTCCAGCAGAACCCCCAGTCCCAGCAGCTCCAGTACCGCCTGTACGAGCACCTCCAGGACCAGAGGCTCCAGTTCCTCCAGCAGCACCAGGGCCTCTAGCGGGCGGCACCCCAGTGCCAGGAGCGCCGCTCCGGAGGCTGCAGCGCCGAGCGTACCACTCACGCAGTCGCTGTGGGGAGGGAGGCGACGGCTGCGACCCAGCACCCGTAGTACCACCAGCTCCAACTCCGGCAGAACCCCCAGCTCGAGCAGCCCCACGCCGGAGGCTGTAACGCTGAGAGTACCACTCACGCACCTACTGTAAAGAGGGAGCGTCACCAAGCGCAGCACCCCCAGGCTCAGCACCCCCAGGCTCAGCACCCCCAGGCTCAGCACCCCCAGGCTCAGCACCCCCAGGCTCAGCACCCCCAGGCTCAGCACCCTCAGTCTCAGCACCCCCAGGCTCAGTACCCCTAGGCTCAGCACCCTCAGTCTCAGCACCCCCACGCTCAGCACCCCTAGGCTCAGCACCCCTAGGCTCAGCACCCTCAGTCTCAGTACCCCCAGGCTCAGCACCCCCAGTCTCAGTACCCCTTGTAGGACCAGAGTCGACAGCTACCTCGACAGGTTCGACCGGGTCTACCTGGGAAACACCTGAGGGAGCAGGACCCTGGGGAGGGAGGGGGTCTACCGAAGCAGCACCTGGCGTGAGGAAGAGCGACGGGGTGGGGAGCGGCGCAGTGCGGTAGGGGAACAGACGGTAAAAGGGTACCAACTCATCAAAAGTGACGTCCTGAGAGGGGAAGACACGGCGCGAGGTGGGGTGGTAATACTGCCAGCCAGGCGCGTCAGGGACAAAGCCAAGAAAGACGCAGGGAACGGCACGGGAGGAGAGCTTGTCCGCTGACGTATCGCTGCTGCTGCTGCCTCTGGCCACCGCCGAACCCCCCACGCTGCACTGCTCCTCCGCGCCCGCCACCAGCTCCACCGCCGCCACCACTGCCACCACCACCCCCGCCACCTCCGCCGCCTCCACCCCCTGCTCCGCCACTGACCCCCCCACCACCAGCGCCACTCCCACCAGCGCCACAACCCCCGCCCCCTCCACCCCCTCCACTGCCGCCGCCCCCGCCGCCACCTCCGCCACCTCTGCCCCCCTTGCCCCTGCCGCCCTTGCGCCTCCCACTGGGAGCAGACGCAGCCTCGACCCCCTCAGCACCGAGGTAGTCGATAGCAGCAGCAGATGCAATGGAGGGGAGGAGGGGGGAGGGGGAGCACCCCTCAAAGAAGGGAGAGCGAGGGTCGCCACGAGAGGCACCTACAGCTACAATGCTCTTCTCAGCTGCTAGGAGTTCCTTCTCGAGCAGGTCGACAGTGAGGTCTGTAGGGGAGAGGGCGAGAAAGTGGTCCCTGATAGTGCGAAGGGAGTCAGGGAGGCGGGTGACTAGGTGATAGAGTGTGAGGTACAGCGGGGGAGGGTTCTTGGCTAGGAAATCAGGGGGAAGCGCGGCATGGTAGCGAAGATCACTTGTACGGAGGTGCGTGATGAGGTTAGCTACTGTGGCAAAAGCAGACAGATCGGGAAGAGATAGGGCAGTGAGAGATGGCCTATCGCAGCAATAGCAGGGGAGGAGTAGCGTGCAACTACAGCGTCGTACAGCTCCTTAGCGGTTTTATGCTGGCCAAAGTGCTCGCGCTCATCTAACGGTAGGTGGCTGCGAACGGCTAGGCGAGCATGAGCATCACGGGTCTGCCACTGTGAGCGAGCAGTGCTGTCAGCAGTAGCAGCAGGTGCAGGAGCGGCGCCAAACGTGTGGTCAAACAGGGAAACATCGTCCTTGGCCGTGATCTGGAGGAATAGGTGTAAGTCATCGAGCCAAACGTCAAACTTAATCGGACGGCCCTCAGAGTCAAACGTGAGAACGGTAGGACTAGCCATAGTGGCAGTAGTAGTAGCAGCAGTAGCAGTAGCAGCAGTAGCAGTAGCAGGAGTAACAGAAGCAGTAGCAGTAGCAGTAGGAGCAGTAAGAGCAGTTGCTGCAGGTGGGGCGGCGCGGCTCGGTCAGGGCGGCGCGACTCGGGCAGCGCGACTCGGGCGGCGCGGCTCGGGCGGCGCGGCTCGGGTAGGTAGGGCGGCGCGACGGCGGGCCTATGCTCGGTGCGCGGCGGCGCCTAGGGTGCGGCTGCGCGCGGGCCGCGGCTGCGTTCGTGCGGCGGCTAAGCGCTAGCTGTAGCAGCCGACGCGCGATCGCCGCTGCGCGCGGGCTGCGACCTGCGGGCGGGCTGCGGTGGGTCGAGCATCGGCCTAGGGGCGAGCGGGGCCTACGGGCGACGGCCTGCTGGGGCTCGCGAGAAAAAAATTGGGCTGCCCTAGGCGGCGAATTTCCTACGCGCGCTAAAAACGCGTGGCCGCGCTCGGGCTGCTAGCGGGCTGCAAACGAGCAGCGTGAGAGGAGAGCGCACGAGGGCGCACTAGGAGAGAGGCACACGAGGGCGCTAAAAAAAAAGGGCGCAGGAGGGCACCTCTAGCGGAATGGTGGGCCCTTAGGTCTAGAACCTGAGCTCTTAATACCATGTCAGAAACAAGAAGTGTTTGAACTAGGAACATTGGTGGTACAAGTAGGAAACCCTAGAGTATTGTACCCCCTAAAGGCTAAACCACTGTAGCCTACACAGCAATAACATATATAATGTTTGACATCCTCTGCCCCCGCCTGTCCCCCTGTCTGCTGCCTCTCCGATGCTTCCCTTGCGCTGGCCTGGTATGCCCTCTTCAGCTCCACTTTAACAAATTGCACCGGTGTCCCTCCTTCTTCCAATACCTCGTACGGAAATCCACTTTCTCGGTCCAGGTGCAAATACTCATGCCCACTGCAAACACCATCTCCGTCCCCACCAACACATCAAAGTCCTACATCTCGGAAATCCCACATTTCATCATGATTCAGGTCTCATGCTCCCCTCCTGGCAACAGAGTCAGCTCTATGGGTGTCCATGTGCATGGCATCCACTTCGGCTCCCCTCCCTCTGCTGTCATCACCAACATGCCCTTTGCCACTTGCCTCTCTGGGGCCATCAGTCCTAACCGCTCTACCATCCCCTTGCCGAGCATCACACTCTGTGCTCCTGTTTCAATGATGGATGTCTTCACCTGCTTCCCTTCTACCTCCATTGCTCCTGCCCCCACTAGTAGCACCGAAGTCTGACATGCGAGTCTCTCTTGCGGGTGGCATGCTGGGGGTTTCTCCTGTGCCACAGGGTCTGGCTTGTGTCCCCGTTCACGTTCCTTCCTGCCGTGTTCCTGCCATCCCTGCCCCCGCTCCGTAGCCCCATCTCTTCTCTCCCCCTCCATGCCATCAGAGCACACTGAGCGTCCGGCTCCACCTCCTCCCCTTCGTCATCTCTAGCGTACATTCCTGCCTCTGCCTCCCACCTTGGCCCCATGGCTTGCAGCTGAGACTGTAACCTGCTGATCTGCCGTTGCAGCTCTTCGGGATTTCTCCTTACTCCCCCTTCCCTCTGATAGCACTCCTTGGCATCATGCCCCTTCTTCCCACAGATCTCACACCTGGCTGCATCTGGACATTCTCTTTTCCGGTGCCCCGGCTTCCCACAGCCATCACAGTTTTTGCAGTCCTTGCGGAGGTGCCCGACCTGCCCGCACCGGTGACACGTGCGGGTGTCCGCTCTCATCTCCGCTCGCGTGTCTGCCCTCCTCATCTCCTCAGGTATCATGGCTGCCGCCCAGGTTGGCCTGCGGCTTCTCTCTGTTGGCCTCGGCAGGTATGCTTCATACTTACACTGTGCGAGCTCAACTTTCTCCGCCAGCTCGAATACCTCCTCTAGTGCCGCCTCAGCCCCTAACTCGTACACCCTCATTCTCAGCCCCCTCCCGAGGGCCTCGTCCAGGCCTCCCAAGAACTTGCTAATGAGAAGGCTGTTGTCCGCACACTTCACGTCCTCCACCACATTAATCAGCCTATTATAGTAGGTCAGCAACGACTCCGCCCGTCCCCTCCTGAATTCTTGGAACTCCCTTATGCGCTCCGCCGTGTGCCCTGGGAATTGCCGCTGTAGCGCTCCAGGAATGCCTCGGTGGGATCTTCCTCATACTTCCCTGCCCTCCATAGCAGTTCCTCCATCCGCATACGGTACAGCGTCTCGGCCTCTCCCTCTAGTGTGTTCGGTAAACTCAGGAAAAAGTCAACGGGGTCCACATTGTGTCTGTCGTAGCGGTAGTGCACATTTCCCACCTGCATCAGGTAATTCTTGAGGGTCGGCCCTGCACGTTGATCTCCTGAGAACCTGGCGGGCACTTCTACCCGAGGCGCGCTGGCAGCACCCCCTCGCCCCTGTCCCCGCGATTCGCTAGCCCCTCCCGGCCGATTGCTCTCCGCTCTTCTCTCCCTTGCCCTCTGCATGCCTTCACTAGCCTCCCGTACCTGTTCCGCACCATACATCAAGCTCCCGCCCTCCTGCCAATTCCATTCCGTCTCGCGACGCCTTTCCCTCGGCCCTCCCCACTCCTCTGCCCGAGCCCACTGCCGCGTTGGCAGGTCGTGCATTCTCTGCCCTTCCCCTTTGCTCGTCTCGCGGTGCTGCCGTCTCTCTGGCGACGGTGACCAGGTGCCTCCCCTTCTGGTGCGCTACTGGCGGCGCTCAGGCGAATGCCCTTCTCCTTCCTCTTTCTCCCCCCGCTGGCGGCGTTCGTCTGGCGAGCGGGACCCGCTGCGGTTCCTCCTCTCTCCTTGCCTTGACCGATCCGGTGCGCACATCGCGCTGCTGCGCTCCCATTGCTGCCGACCGCGCCGCTCCTGCGACCAGAGCTCCGTCCCGTCTCTCCTTCCCTGACGCCCGTGCGGCTCAGGAGAGCGTGGCTCATCCTTCCATCTGCCCCCGCGCGCCTGCTGCTGCTCCGGCGAACGCACGCCGCCGCCGCTCCAACCTCCCTGCTCTCCTCGCCTGTCATCCGATCTGAAGTCCCCCCCGCGCCAATCTCCGCAATACTGACCCATTTTTGGTGTGCGCGACCGCTCCGCCTTTCCTTTGCCACGCTGTCTCTGCATCCGTGCATCGCGCCCACTCTCGTCCTGGGCCACTCGCTCCTACCGAAGCGAGCCCTTGGCGCGCTGCTCATCCCCACGGTTGGCGTTTCGCCCATGGGATTCCTCCGCCTGGCTCGCGCCAGCGTTCTTGTCCGCTTGAGCGGGTTCAGCCACATCAATTCCCGCTGCCTGGTCCTCGCCGCCATCTCCCGCATCAGTGCCCTCGACCTGCAGCCCTGGGTCTTTCTCGTCCGCTTCCGCGCCCTACTCCTCGTTCACTTCCTGTGCCATGCTCTCCTGCGCGCCCTCCATGCGATCACCGCCGCGCATGTCTCTTCCTCGTCCCCGGGGAAATTCCTCGAGGCCTTGCCAACAGCCGCGGTCGTCACGGCGCCGTCTTCGCCCCTCCGGATAGCGGAACCTTCCTTCATCGCGGCGGGTTTCTCTTTCATGGCCGATCCCACGTGCTCTTTCTCGCAGCCATGCGTCTCTATCGACGCCTCCAACACGGCCCGCATTGCCTGCTCCCTCGCCCATCGATCCTTCCTCCCGACGGTCCCTTGCGAGGGGAATTCGGTCCGCGCGGAAGGCTGGCCGGCGCGGCGATATCTCCAATGATCGCCCTCGTTCGCTTGACGGCTCGCGTCGCGGCCGTTCCTCCTCGCGACGGCTAAACATCCTACCCCAGCGCAACTCGTACTTATCCATATAAGTACATTCTTGGGTCGTGTGGCAGCTGCCTGAAGCCGATCTTCAGGAGAATTTTGTGCAGATGCTGCTGGAAGAGGCGAGGCGCCTGATTTATCCCGTAGAGGGATTTCTTGAGCTGGCAGACCCTAGGATCTCTTTCACCGTAGGTGTGTGGTTGCTCCACGAAGATGGTTGCATCCACCAACGCGTATAAAAACGCGTTCTTCACGTCGACTTGTTGCAGTGGTAGATGCTTAGCGGCGGCAATGGCGAGTAGGATTCTGACGGAGGTGTGACGACTCACGGGGGCGAAGGTTTGATCAAAGTCAATGCCGTGACGCTGGTCGTACCCGTGTACAACCCAGCGTGCTTTGAAGCACTCGATGGTTCCGTCAGCATTGGTCTTCAGGCAAAAAACCTATTTTCCGCAAAGTACTCTCCTCCCCTTCACTGCTGCACGATCAACTAGAACCCATGTGTCGCGAGATTCCAGCGCCTTTAGTTCCGCATCGATGGCGGCACGCCACTCCTTGGCGTGAGGGCCGGTTAGGGCCTGGCGAGGGTTCATGGGCTCGACGGCGCGTGTAAGAGTAGCGTCTGACGTGTGCAGGCCGAGAAGTTGTAGGCCGGACACGTTGGTGGTGTATGTGGTGGTGACTTCCACCACGTCATCATCGTTGCTCTCATAGCCAGGAGAGAAAGTGCTCGGCGCAGCTTGGTGCCGTGATGGTCCCGGTGCGGGAGCGTCGTCGCTGTCATCGTCGTCGTCATCGTCGTTGCGCGGGCGAGGCGGTACGCCGGGATGTTCGTCGGCGGGGTCGCGGTCGAATGCTGCCGCTGCCGCCTCGTCTTCCGCGGATGCAAAGCTACGCCCGCTGTTGGCATAGCCGCGTGCTGCGTTGCGACGTTCGTCCTCGATCCACTGCTGCAAGGTGAGTCGCTCGTAGAATTCAAGAGAGTAAAGCTCGTTGTCACGCTGTGCGGCGACGTGCCGCAGCGCCCGAAGAGTGGTCATCTTTGGGGTAGGGGAGAAGGTCTGAAAAAACTCAACTCTCTGTCGCTGACTGAAGCCTCGTGCAACGTAACGCGCCTTGAAGATAGGCGAAGAACCCGGCGGCTGCTTCACCCTGAAAATCCACATGCCGCTGACGATGTTCGCCCCAGGTGAGGGAACCTTGTCGACGTAAGTGCCTGTGGACTTCGAGGATGCCATCTCTGCATCCATGGCTGACTGCCACTGAGAGGAGTAGGGACCCTCTATCGCCTCTGCGTAAGAGCGCGGGGTCGGGATGTCTGGTGCATCCGGGTCTCCCTCAGGTGCAATTAGCATAGACACGAGATGAGGTACAGCAGCTGCAAAACATTCAAAGTCCTCCTGTCTGTCCTGAAGGACGTCCGTGCCAAGAGCACACTCACCCCCGACGGACGGAGGACAGACAAACTCACACCCAGCAACAAGGCTAGTGGCGTAGTCTAAACGACAGGTGGCTGTCAAATGTCATATCTGCTACAGTTTGTTTAGGCTGTAGTGGGGTAGTCACTATGGGGTACAGTAAGTTTAGGGTTTCCTAATTGTACCCAACTCTTTCCTAGTTCAATCACCCTTGTTGATTCTGAAATGGTATCACGAGCCTAGGTTGCCACCTAGGACCGCTTACTACTACGGGCCCACTATTCCGCTAGGAGCGCCCTCGTGCGCCCTACCTTACGTGCGCCCTCGTGCGCCTTTCTCTCCTCGTGCGCCCTCGTGCGCCTTTTTCTGCTAGTGCGCCCTGCCCTTCGTTCTGCCTGCGCGCCGTCCTGCAGCCCTCGCGCTGCCTCCTGCTGCCCTAGGCCAGTGCGCCGCCCCTGCAAGCTAGTAAGGCCCTCGAGCCGTCCCTGCAGGTCCGTCAGGCCCCCGAGCCGCCTCTGCAGGCCCGTCAGGCCCGAGAGCCGCCCCTACAGGCCCGTCAGGTCGGCGCGCTGCCCCTGCAGGACCACGCCGCCCGCGCGCAGCTTCTGCCCGACCGCGCGCCGCCCCTGCAGGCCCTCGCCGCCCGCACGCAGCCTCTGCAGGCCCGTCAGGCCAGCGTGCGACCCCGTCAGGTCGCTGACGCGGCCCCACCCTGCCGCGGTCGCGGCCCCGCCCTGCCGCCGACGCGGACGCGGCCCCGCCCTGCCGTGACGCGGCCCCGCCAGCCCTGCAGCTGACGCGGCCGCGCCCTACTGCTGACGCGGCGTCGCCCCAGCCCGCGTCGTCGCCCCCTGCCCGCCGCGTCGCCTCTGCCCGCGGCGTCGCCCTGCCCGCCGCGTCGCCCCTGCCCGCCGCGTCGCCCCTGCCCGCGGCGTCGCCCTGCCCGCCGTGTCGCCCCTGCCCGCGGCGTCGCCCCTGCCCGCCGCATCGCCCTGCCCTACCCCGCGCCTGGCCCCTGGAGCAGCCGCCACTGCAGCAGCCTCCCCTGGCCTCTGGAGCAGCCGCCACTGCAGCAGCCGGCCCTGGCCCTTGGAGCAGCCGCACCTGCAGCCGCCCCTGGCCCCTGGAGCGGCCGCCCCTGTAGCAGCCGCCCCTGGCCACTGGAGCAGCCGCCACTGCAGGAGCCGCCCCTGGCCCCTGGAGCAGCCGCCCTTGGAGCAGCCGCCCCTGGAGCAGCCGCCCCTGCAGTAGCGACCGTCGCGGCCCGGTCCCGCTCTGCAGCAACTGCCGCGGAGCTTCCTGCCATGGTCGCGGCCCCGCCCTGCCGCTGTAGCGGTCCCGCAGTCGCCTCCGTCGTGCGCCTGCCCTTCCCACCACTGGTGAGCACAGCCCTGCCCGTGCTACTCCTGCTGTTACTACTGCTGCTACTGCTACTGCTGCTCCTGCTGCTCCTGCTTCTACTGCTGCTCCTGGCGTGGCCAGATGCAGCTCCAGGGCCGTCCGCGTGTGTCCCTCACGCCCCAGCAGCTTTGTGAGTGGTACGCCAGTTGGGGTTGTCGGGGTGGTAGTAGTGGGAGTCGTCCTGGAGTGGGTAGTTCGGGAGCTTCTTGTAGTGGCCCTGTGCAGCAGCAGCGTCGTCCTCGCGAGACTCTTTCGCCCCAGCAGCTTCGTGAGTGGTACGCTCAGAGTAGAGGGTCGCTGAGTACTGCTCGCTGCCCGTACGTTATTAGCACGGGTGTCCGGACTGGTCAGCCTTGCGGGACGCGTGGTCACACAGAGTCCCGCTGCTTCGCCCGTCTGAGCGACGCTTGGCGTACAGAGTTTGGCGACGACGCTGAGCTCCCCGACTGGGTGGAGCTGCTTAGGCAGAGGGTAGATATCTTTGCTCTTGACTATGTTGCTATTCTCACTGCAATGTATGCATTGTCTACTAGTGCCGAGGGAGCCTGTCACCTGTGTGTGCCGCCTGACCCCGGTATCCAGTCTGCTGCTCCAGGTGCCGGTGAGGCTGCCGCTCTAGGTGCTAGTGCGTCTGCTGCCCCTGGTCCTGGTGAGGCTGCTGCTCTAGGTGCAGGTGTGTCTGCTGCTTCAGGTGCTTGTGAGTCAACGCCTTCAGGTACTGCGTCTACTGAGGCACTGCACACCTTCACGCTGGACTCAGGTGCTTCCCGCTGTTTCTTTCGCGACCGCACTGCCCTCGAGCAGCTCCCTAGGCCGGTTGCTGTTTCCCTGGCTGACCCCTCCGGGGGTCCGGTCCTTGCGACCTCCACCACTGCCCTCCCTTGTCCTGCTGTCCCGTCCGGCACACTGTCGGGCCTTTACCTCCCCTCGTTCTCTACGAACTTGGTGGCGGGTTCCGCGCTCCGGGACACGGGTGTTCACCAGTTCACCCCTGCCTACGAGCGTGTGACACACTGCACGTGTGCTCAGACGGGTCGTCACCTGGCTACCTTCACTCAGCAACCGGGGTCGGACTTGTACACACTGACCACTGAGTCCCCTCAGGTAGCGGCGTCTGCTTCTGCGTCAGGCCAGTTGTCCGCTCCCTGCTCGTGTCGCACCCTGTCGCACCGGACGGTCCTCTGGCACCACCGCCTTGGTCACCCTTCGATGCAGCGCCTTCGTGGCATGCACTCTCGCTTCCTTGTCTCTGGTCTCCTCAGATCACTGCCTCCCCTTCCACCGTCCCCTGCCCCTCCCTGCCTTCCCTGTGTCGAGGGGCGGCAGCGTGCCACCCCTCACTCCTCTGAGTTCCCCCCGACGGAGGCTCCTGTGCAGACCCTTCACATGGACGTGTGGGGCCCAGCCCGCGTCCGTGGACAGGGCGGAGAGCGCTACTTCCTGCTGGTA